GAGAGGGGTCGTTTACGACTTCAGTACAAGCAGATCCAGAACAGTCAGATAGGCTTGATTTGCCTGGACGACCCGTTCCTGGTCTGAGTGTGGCTCGAGATCTAATTATCTAAGCTCTACTGGGTCGTGCAAACGAAGCGGAGATGCGCAGAATGCCGCTTATGATGAAGGCGCCTCGGAACAGCTCCCCGACAGCCTCCGATGTGTCCCACGCGAATATGGAGCATCCGGACATCGGAATCCTTGCTAGCGGGAGTTCCAGAAGTATACTCGCCCGCCCTAAGTACTCTACGCATGTCTCCTCTCGCGCACAAGTGGCTGCTGTCGCAGGCGCAAGTGGGCCGAGGTCAATACCCTCTAATACTGTGCCCCTTGTTTCTCATGTCCACACACCTTCACAGATCCAATCTTTCCAAATGTCCATGCTTGGGAGCAGTGCCTCTCTAGGCGAAGAATCGACTGACAGCGATTCTCTGACACAGCATGTGCCTGGAATCTCTCATTCGTCAATGCATACCTCGTCCAAGCAAGCATTACGATTATCACTACATATTCAAGACGGTTCAATGCCAAGATCACCCGCAATCTCTCAGACTAATATTACCGGACGTACATCATTTGGCTACTCGAGAGAGAATGGTAGCACTTTGGATACGACGTCACCAGTCTCAAGATCATCCTTAGATTTTGTTTTTCGATCTAAAACCCGGAGTAGCATGGACCCCCTCGCTCGAGCAGCTACAGTACAGGCAGCACGTCAGGCTTTTGAAGAAAAAGAGGCGGCGAAGACCTGGAGAATCGAGGCTCAACAAATGAAAGCCGAGAAAAAACAGACTCGGCACAAGGAACGACACAGGCAAACTGGAATTGATCAGGTTGATGTTGAAAGCACGAATAATGAGAAGCCTGCGCCTGAGACACTGCAGCCTTCAGATTCACCAGGATCACACCCAACTGGCTGGAAATCCCAATCGAAGAACACATGGGTGCTTTTTTTGACATGGTTACGCACCAGGGTTTTCAAGCTGCGGAGGAGAATCAAGAGAATAATGTAACGATAGAGAATCCGTAAACTTGCCCTGTCATTTTGTCTTCCCTGCATGTATTCGGGCGTCATAATCAGGGGTATTTGTGTCAATTCTGGTGCCATTAAATACGTGGATTCCGCTTGAGTTATGCAAGGAACGGCTACTGACCGAGACAGAAAGATTCTACATTAAACTGGAACATGGTGAAACATGGTCAAACATGGTCGAACATGGTGGAACGACGACCTTAAACCGCAATAAAAGTCAATATATACCTACAGAATATCTCCTGGTCAAAATGAGTCTTTTAAGGTACATTGCCGTCTCGCCGAATGCAACCTGATCAATATGATCAACATGAAAGCACCCCCCTAGAACATAGGAATGAAGCCACCCATAATTCGGCAGTGACATTATATGTGAGCCTCATATGAGACTATCCGTGTGGTAAAAAGTGTTATCACTAGGTACATTGCTAACATGAGAGAGCCTGGACCACATCGCGAAAGAGGAGATTGGCTGGAGGCAAAACGTACGGTGGTACATCGCCAAAAACATTAGCCAGCTGTGTTTGCAAAGAACCATTTAGACCACTAGACGCTGTTGCTAATTGATGTCTATCGGTTGACTTGCCCTGGTCTTGCTGACCAAACAAGCTTGCCAGGCCCGATTTCTCAAACAAGTCACTTGGTGCATGCGCATATGTAGTTTGGGGTGCTAAACCCAGGCAGCTGAGTCTCTGCACCTTGGCTTCAGCATCGATAATGACGAAATCGCCAGAGTGTTTATCAGATAGTAAAGCGACGGGAGAGCTATCAAGCATGGTTTCAGACAGTAAGGCGAGGGTTTCGCTGTCGTAAATCTGTACATGAGGTTCGGGTCGTCGGCGTTTCTTTGACGCAGGGTTCTTGGAATGAACTTGCGCGGCAATAGCGAAAGTTTTAGTTTCAGTGCTAACCGCCGACAGGCATGGTGAACAGGGTTGTCCGTTTTCAGCTGCATCAGGGAAGCCGAGAGTCCTGACAAGGTCATGCACAGTATCCCAAATGAACACGGACCGTGTTGAGGTGATCAGGAGCTGAGAGCCCAGAAATGCCAACGCACAAGGATCCCCTGCATATAGCCCGACCCTACTATAGCGGATGCTACATGTTTGAGCATCAATCAATAATGTAACACCGGGATCCGCAGATGATGCCGAATTCAAGCAAACGGCGAGAACCGATCCATCCTGCGAATAATCCATGTAGGCTGCATTCAATCTTGTAGAGTGATATGTGTCACTATAGCTCTTCAGATCAATAGCATTACGACATTTCCAGGTCTCCGACAGCTGTTCGGTACCTGTTGTCTTGAGACCACTTCGTTGCCTGGCGCTTGGGCACCATATGCGAAGCACTCCATCAGCGCCGACAGTTGCGAATTCATGGGCATAATTGCGGGAAGCAAGATCCAAGATCCGTGCAGGACCCGTGCCAGAAAAATGAGGAGTGTCAATTCTGGTCACCAAATCCCACATCATGGACAAGATATTCCATCTCCAGAATTTCAGGAAAGTTTCTTGATTTTGAGTATAGCTGCGACCGCCATGATCATCGGCAGGATAGAGAGCTTGCATGTCTCTTGTGTAAGGGCTCCAGCTGTCGATGGTAGCCATCCACTTCCCGTCTTTCGAGAGCGACAAGTGACTGACATCTGGTGCAGCGATGTATGAGCCATCTGGACTAATCTTTAAAGTTGTTGTGTTGGTACGCGCAAGCGCTTGCCGTGAGACATGGCTGTTGGAGCGTATGTCGTAGGTTTGGAGTGTGCAAGCGTTCGCCACAGTATGACCTTCCGGTGTAAGCTGACGAGAAGCTGGAACAGTCAAAAGAAGTTGATCCGGGAGCTTCGGATGTAAAGCGGCGGCTATAGTTCCGACTGACAGAGGCCTCTTGGTCGAGGACCGAGTGTGAGACTTCGTCGGTGGGCACAGCTGCAAGCCGTTTATGGTGGCAAATGGCTGGAGTTCTCGCGCTGACAGCACAGTGGTGGAGTTGTCTGTTAGTTTGACAGCATAGAGGGTCCCACTGGTGGAAAGAGTTATGTTGCAAATAGGGGACGAGAGATGGGGTAAGAATTGCTTTCGGCCCGTATCCAGCTGCCACAGAACCATCACCGATTCGTTGCCGCCTGAGATGACATAGTTACCTGAAAGAGAGATGCATCAGTCATTTGGAGCCCAGCTTTGTCTTATGAACATGGCTTACCGTCCTTAGACCAACGCACCACATTAACACAACTCCTATGCCAGTGCAGCCGCCTAGGGGTAAGAGCCTTGCTGTTGCCGATATTATTCTGTAGGGAAGTGAGGATATCATTATAAATCATGATTGAGCCCCCGGATTCTCCCAGCGCAAGGTCAACACTTCCAAGGCTTGCCCGGTCTCTGGGACCCGGGATCCCCGCTCGTTGTGGGGCTGTTTGATATCGAATATCAGCGGATGTGATACTCGTGGGCAAAGTCAACTCGCTCCAGGTATAAGGGACAGGACTTGAGTCTGAAAGATGCGCTTGACAACCGAGGAGAACATTTTGGCCTCCAAAAGCGACTAAAACTCTACCCTGGTATGCAACTCTGAGATGAGTGATCTGAGTGTTGGTGGTCAACAAGGGAACAGAGCAAGGTTCTTCATCACTTAAGCGTTGAAAAACGATATCCTTCTTCGAATCTGCGCGATCATGAACGGAGAACAGGGCGTCATTTCCAGAAGCATCGGAACAAAGGTCGATGCAGGTTGTTGGCCTGTATGCATCTCGGTAATAAAGCCGTTGACCAGAAAACCATTCCCATTTGCTCACAGAGCCAGTAGAGCTGAACACGTATAGATGATCCGAATTTTGTGGAGAGAGCTTGTATTCGATTACATTGTCGGTAGACTTCAACTTCAGCACTCGAAAAAGCCGCGAACTCGTCACCGAGTAGATGTGAACCGCTGTTTTAAGACCAAGAAAAAGGTACCTATGATGAATTCTGTAAGAAATTGTTTCAGAAGATAATCAATGATACGACTCACTCATCATCTGAAGTGAACAAGGGGTCAGAGTTGCTAAATCGTCCAGCAGCAATTCCAGACAAGAACCAGGCATCCCGTGCAGTTTCCTTCGGTTCTCTCTCGCTAGGCTCAGGAATATCCTCCGGAACAGTAACAGCATCAGGTGCCACGGCCGCTGTCCTTCCGACCATCCTAGGCCGCAAAGAATCGTCTTTCTGAGCCCCATCGTCGGTTGGTGATGTACGACGGCGCTTGATGCGAACATCATCGGTTGAGACCATCTTCCCTTGGGCCATCTCGCTGGCGCGCGATCTTTTGGAAAGTTGCCTATGCTCCGAATCTGACATTGGTTCACCAGGCAATGAGAAGAGAATTAAACTCAGCCTTCTAGTTTGAGTGTTGTTGTAGATGATGTACTCTATGGATGAGACAGACTAGCATCATTGATGTTGCGTAGCCTGTAGGTGTTGAAGACAAGCTAGGATGATGACCACCTGCTTGTAGTAGGTTCCTTTTTTTTTTTTTTTGCTTCTCTTTTGCCTTACTGCCATAGTCAAACACCATCCATTCACTGGTCCGGCTCTATTCCTAGTACGTACTAGCGCTTTGATCATGTGTGCTCTAGCACTTAAAGACTAACAGGCTTTCGGTTAGGCGCAAATCTTCAAATGGAAAAAGGTGGGGTCTGTGTCGAATCAAGTAACCAATAGTACAGATTTGATCAATCCTCAACGTGAGTAAATTATTCCTCACTTTCAAAGACTGCGGTTTACAGACTCCAACGGCCTTATTCTTACCATCCGGTAGCTGCACATCACAACAGAAGACATTCCCTATTTACTGGTACTCTCGCCTTCCTGAGTATCAGAACTACCTTTGGTGCAGATTTATTTCACTTATATTATCTCTTCTCATTCCCGAGACACACTTTGGCCCAATGATCATTCCCGTCAGGTGCTTCTCTTGTGGCAAGGTAGGTAGCAATACACTTATTCCAGCTTCCCTACACGGCTTCTAACCATCGTGGAGTAACAGGTTGTTGGAGATCTATGGGAGCGCTACCTACAGCTTCTAGATGAAGGCATACCAGACGGGTAGGTCATTATTCAGTGGATTGCTTTGACAAGAACACCATGCCTGACGAAAATACTTTATAGTGATGCTATGGATCAGTTGGGCTGTAGAAGATATTGTTGTCGCCGGATGATCATGACTCATGTCGATTTGATTGAGAAACTTCTCAGGTATGAGCGAATGACTCGAACCAACATCGAATTATAGTGTTGACATTGTCCGCAAGGTATAATCCCACCGAAAGGGACCGGGCGAAGTCTCAAATATGAAGCGGTTATCGATTACATTCCACAGCTTTCTAAAAATGCCTGTTGCCTTGACTCTTCCCCGATGACCTCCATACAATCCTTTCCGGACGTGCGGCCTTGCTGCTCCCTTATTTCGGTGACTACCAAAGGAAAAACGGCTTTGCAAAAGGTTTTATCTGTGGTAATGTCAATAGCGATTGACTTCAATCACTCCAGGTCCCTTCATCTGTGGTTTCCCAATGGTTTCCTAGTGGTTTTCAGCGGTTCTCTTGATTCTTGCACGAGCTGTTTCGGTCATGTCGGCAGTCTTACATGTGTAGTTCATTATTTCATTGGGTTCTTTTGTCTGTTTCTGTTTTTGAGATTCATACAATTATGCAGTGGCAAGAAACGCCTTCACAAGCGGTTCATTTCACTAATGTAATCAAGACTGGTTAAGTTGACTGACAAGGCACATAGTACCTTGCTCCGAACTCTAAAAGTTTCCTGGCAGTTGTTTCTGTAGACATCTTGCCTACGAACAATGTCAAGTGGTCGATTTTGACCATAGACACCCGTATATAATATGAGAGGGTTCGCGGAGGTTTGCACTATTCCTCCGTGCCACTGAGGGCCAGCATTTGACATGGTTCTTTTTGAGCTCGTTTGAACAGTTCGAATGTACATGGCAGCGGACACTACCTAGTCGTCAATGTCAGAAAACGGTTACTTACCCTTCATACCACCATAATACACGTTCTTTTTTCAAGTACTGTACGAAGCAACATCTAGATCCATATAACCATTTACCGAAGCAAAACTCTATCTACCTACGTAGAGATAAGAAACACGGCCAACCGTTGATCTGATATTTACAATACAGTATCTCCTCATCATCACACCATTTTTGCTGGATACATGTCACGATTACTCGGACAACTGTACGGCTAGTATAAGTTAGTATGTACAGTACAGTACAGTAAGTTACAACAGCTTATCATATAACGTATTTGGTAAGCGAGTCAGCCATATAAGCCATTCGGCCACCTATATATTATATATAAAATAGCTGATTTTTAAATTATATTATCTTCACAAATTTCTATTAAATCTTTTTAAAACTAAATATTCAAAGTTATATATATATAATCTTTTTACTTACAGAATAAAAAATTTTAATTATTTTTATAAGCTTTTGTATATACTATTTATATATCTTATAAAAATAATATTCTATTAGAGAATTACTACTGGTAAAGAATAGATTTTAGAAGAAAATAAACTGATTTACTATATAAAGTAAGTTCTTAAATTAAATATTATAGATTTTCTAAAGTATATATTCTAAGATTATTGAACTATTTAAAGATTAAAATCAGCTTTGTATATATAATATATAGGTGGCCAACTGGCTTATATAGCCGACTCGCTTACCGATTACGTTACTACCGTTAGTGCCAGTCGTGCTCGGCGCGAAGCGTCTCACGACGGCAAGGCACATGATGCGTGATGAGACCTCCATTGAGTGCTAGAACTGCTGATAGGCCTTTTCAAGTGATTTTTGAGCCAACTTCTCCAAGGTTGTTGTCTTGCTATCAACTTGCATCTATCTGTATGTTTTTCATGCGATACTGCTTTTTATTTACACCACATTAGGATCCGTCAAGGATCCAGAGTACCATTTCCACCGCCTTTTCCTGTCTTATGAGATCTCCAGACCATTAGCTTCCTAGCGCCTCTAGATACACCATGTATGAAAATGTAATTTCCGCGATGACTCAATATAGAATGCTAAATCGCATAGGCTTGACCAAAACCACATCGTTACATCTGATACAACATCGGGACACGATGTAGTGTCGTCCCTCGTTTCAGACCAAGATGCGGGCGGCCACGATGGCTCTCCGGAGCGCGATTCCGAGTGTGGATGTAATTCCACGCCGCTTGGTTCAAGACCACCATTCGCAGGAATATCTCGAGAGGGACTCAAAGTATGGGTGGTAACCGGCAGGATTTGACTATCAGACCCAATCGTACTGAGACTGGTGGCAGATACGTACTGCGAACACACAGGTCAACAAAGGTGAGGCGAAATCGGATGAGGACGAGCCACCACAATCAGTGATACATGCTCCTGCAGGTTTTGGTGACTTTGTAAGTGGTTGACATACAAGTCAGCAATCCCATCAGTATACGCAACCAACCCTCTCATTGGTATCTAATAAGGAAAAGGTGAATGGACAAGTGCCACTTGTCAGTACGCTTGCACCATCGAGTGCATTGAAGTCATATACATCACATCAAACAGCACAGTCATCCTCGGGTCATGATTTTACGGCGCTCGCAGTAGTATTTCACTATCCTCCGCCTTGGCTGGAAGCTGACTGACAAGCGCTAGGTTGGGCCTGAAAGCCCTATATCACCACCTCCATCAAGTACTTCAGTTGAACATTCGGAGGGCTGGCCCGAGCGGCCAACACCTCGAGCGCAAACAAGACAAGATTTCGCAGATCCTCGCATGATTTCATGTACCAGTACTGTTGATAGTAGGGCAGATGCTGTCTCTGGAGAAGGAACGCCCTGGCCTTCGATATCCCGTGTTGAGGGTAAGTCAATCCTTTCCGGTACTGATCTCAGGAAATCACCCAACCACGATGACTTGAATGGCCTGGGTCTACGGTTTGTATACCATTCTGACAGCAAGCAGAAATTGACGCTTTGACAGCAGCCCTAGCGGAGTGTTGGGCTCTATGCAATTCATTGGCCGTTCTCGGCACTTTACATGGAGAAAGGCATGGATCCTACGTCAATACTCAAGATAAGACCTGGAAACTATGCTGGCGTCTATGTCAGGAACTCTACGTCAGTCAGAACGACTACCATTCCTCAAAAGTCAACCCTACTCTTGATATTTGTCATGCTTTTTGTCAATCTTTGTTCGAAGCTCGTGAGAAAGAAAACGAGGTCACAGATTCGATTCTCCGTGTCAGTTTTGAGCTCAATAACCATCTCTATAATACGCACGATCGAAACCTGCCGGAGGCTTTCCGTGAGAGGACTCTAGACTTCTACATCACATTGTGTCATCGTCTGATGAAGCAGAGGAGCCTAGTGTCTGAGACAGAATCCCCTTTGGGCGCGTGCTGGTCGTTTGCAGAGATCCTCTTCACCATACGTCAGAATAAAAAGGAAAACAAGAAGCCAGACGAAGATTTGCTGGGATCGGCAATTCAAGCTTGTTGGGAACTTTGCGATGTTTTCAGGGAGGGTTGGGCACAGCGAAGCCATCGAAGTTCTGACCGTGGAACACCACGGCCAAGTCAAGCAACTTTCCAGCAGGTCATCGAGCAGGTCAAGGTCTCTCAATTCATTGCTTGTGACGAGGTTTTGGGACAATCTAAAAATCCTGAGACCCCGACTACCGTTTTTGATGATAGTGCAGCCATCTCACCAGATGAGGCACCCCTCCAGAACATTTTTGTCTTGGGCCAAGGCTCAATTCAAGCATCGCAAACTGCCTGTTCTCCAAATTCATCAGCCGCATCAGGACAATCACAATCATCGGAGCAAACCTCATCGACCAAAACAATAACCACCATGTCGGGAGGGTTGAACCTGGCAGCTATCAAATTATTGGTTACAAAGGCTGCAATCAACAGCGGTTATCAGCGTTCTGGGACACAAACTTTCTCGTCATTCGTCAAATCGCTGTCTTCCGACGCATTCGGCTCTACCCCTTGGCAAATATCTCTATTGAAGAACTATAAAAGGCTGGTAGCGTTTGACCCAATTTTCAAAGGTGCTAGTTTCCAGGCACGAGCAAGTGCCATTGATGTAGCGCAAGCCGTTCGGCTTGTCGCGCAGGGCGGACAATACCCATGGTTGCTAGATCTTTACCGCTTGGTCTTTGGGTTCCATACAGACGAGGCTATCAACCGGAAGGAGATCGTACTTCAAGTATGATCCTATCGATTCATTAGCGTCTTCCCCGCAAATTCTTCGATGCTGACCGCTAGGGGCATGGGTTGCACTCGTGGTTCTACTAGATATCACACCAACTGTAAGTTGGGCTCTTGTTCACTCTCATCTGTGTACGAGCAAGCAAGGCCCCACTAGCCCTGCCGTCGGAATCTTAACCTGACGGTATGTCACGCGCAACTCTCAAGTCACACTGCGTGCTTAATTCCTGCCTCGATAGATGGATGGAAGAAAAGCTTTCTCTAGATTCAGACTGCACTATGCCGTGTGCAAGTAAATATAAATAGTAGAGGTCGTTGGTTCATTCGACGCCGTGCACATCGTTCTGGTTCCGTATGGAATATTCTACATTGGCATGCTTCCTATATCGATAAGTAGTGAAGCTTGATGACAATAACCCCAAGCATGTTTAGGTCCGTATGGCTACAGTTAAAGATGGTCCTAGTGATAAACTATATGAGCTCTTGCACGGTGGAAGGATCAAAGAGGTAAATGGTATGTATATGCTATTCCGCGCCTTATGCGCACTAACGCCAGTGGTAGCATGTCCTCAAAACATTGATTCTGAATAAGTTCAGAGAATTGAATATATCCGATACATCTGTTTGGCCTCTCGCAGGGAAGTGATAGATTATAACGAGAAAACATCCACGAGTGCTTGCCTTTCATTATAGAAGCTAGGGCTGATCTTGACTTCCTGATGACTGTTCCCTCCTACACAGCATTTGCGATAGCATAAAGTGGCTCACATCCTCATCTGTCCAGTAGCTCAGGTGGCTGGCAATACTTGCAATCATAGATATATCGAATGCACCCCTAGACGGTTAGCGCTTGGCATTATTGAAAGACCATAATCGACTTGGGACGCCGAACTTACTCCTGTATGCTATAGTCAACACGCCCGTTGGCATTCAGGGCCCTTACCTTGGCATCCTCTAGCAGAATCCTTTTCGAGCCACTGTCTGCCCCAGGGGCTCCGCTAGCATGTTCTCTGGCTTGTAAATTCTGCTTCGCTGAGATCCTGTCCCGATGGATTTTTCCGTAGAGCGTTTCCAAATCAGAGTGAAGCAGTGTGGGTCGTCGACTTTTGTCTTCACTCAGCGCAGAGGCACCCGTGACCGATGGTAGATTCTGGGGGTCTTGAGTATTCGCATTGGACGATGAGCGGATTGAGGCATCCTCGGGACTCAGACCGAGGCTACGGTTAAGAAGACTGCTGGCGACACCTGACGTGAAATTCGTCCAGAGAGATCCCACACTTTGGCCGACACGATTACCGATCATGGAAAGACTCTGACCGGATGTTGCCCAAAGACTTTTCTTTACCGACGGCAAAGGCTGCGGCTTGAGCGATGACAGTGCTGGTGAGATCAAAGGCTCTAAACGATAACTCACGGGGTCAGAGGGATGGAAAATATTGTACAGCTGCCCACATTTAGGTGAAGAAACAGATAACTCATTCTGAGCGAGCACGGTGCTAGTCTGGTGTGAAGCAAAAGACTTTGTGTGGGGAGTAGGCTGCAATGGTGTTTCCAATGCGCATTTCTCTGAGAAGGACGATACTTCTGCTAGTCCCTCGTCTCGAGCCAGCCGCGCAGCAATAGTCTTCCCTTTGAGCATCTGAAATAATGCGACAGGGGAGCCTAGACAGAAGAATTCCTGGCATTGAAATTCCAAAGAATCTCGACAACATTCTGGCTGTCTGGCATTGACCGAGGGGGTTGCATGACGGCTATCATGGGGTTCATGACGGCTATCATGGGGTTCATGGCAGAGTATATCAAAGAGGATTGCACTACCAAGAGAATGGCCGCAAAGACTCACTGAGCCTTTGAAGGAAGGATTTCGCTCCTTGAAAAGCCTCAGGATTCTATTGCACTCCCCTTTCACTATGTGAGATATGTGTTCACAATACGCACTCTGATAAAGCAGAACATCCATAGCCAGGTCGGATATGAGATTCCGAACAGCAGGCACGTTGTCGAGTGTAATATCTGATAGAGTAGGGTATGCTGGTATTGCATCTTCGGGAGCCTCCGCGTCCGCTAAGTCGAGTTCCTTCCGACTTTGCTCCATTCGTTGATAGGGAAAATCGAGCATATGCCTCCAACACCTATGACAAATACTGGATCAGTACGTGGATTTCATATGAACACAAGCCATTGAGAGGCTCGGCCAAGGCTAGATGTGAAGGGTGGTATCGCAATGTAGAGGGGCCAAAAGACTAACACGGGTAGGACCTGGATGCGGCAGTTTTCATGCTTATCAGCGAATTGCGAGTTGAAGGCTTGAAGATCGGGTGATGCTCGATAAACACTTTTCATCGTTTTGCGTAAAACATTGACATCGTGTATGAAATTTACACTTTCTAGGCGCAAGCCCAGGCGCTGGCCAATCCCATGAGTGACTAGGACCAAGTGATCTATCTTCCGATCTCGATCTTCATTGGAGTCTTTTGATGCCTCCATCTCCTTCTGATCTTGAGTACGCACTTGCTCTTCAAGCTCGGCCAATTCCGAGCGACCATCTGCCCCATTACACGGCTCTTTGGTTGCAGACCCTGTTGTTGTATTCGTTAGACTGGGGTTGTCTGGTCCAGTCAATTCGGTCAAACCCAACAACTTGGATTCTACTTCGAGCTGCCCTGGTAGTTTGGTGCGACGCTTGAGCCCATCGTGTGTCTGCTTTGGTGGAGTGCCACATTTTGATGAATCTGTGGGCTTCTTCGCTTCATTGAAGCCACGTATAAGTTTTGTGCCTGCGACAGCACCCAGCTTTTGGTATACAGTAGTGCTGACCCTGGACATGAAGTCATCACTTGTCAGCAGCGCAGTGGAAGCATCTTGATATGTGACTATATTGCTCATATAAGCGCCGAACAATCGATAATCCCTTGGTTCATTACTGGTTCCGGAAGTACCACGGGGGCTAGAATCTGTTTGACAAAATGAGCGATTCAGTCTGTTGACTTGCGCGTTTTTGACTTACCTTGGTGACTAAGTGTTGTCGACGAAGCAGTTGATGGAGAGCGACGGGTGTCCGAGCATCGCCAGGGTTTTAGCTTTAGATATCCCTCCTCAAGCTGTGTTGCTAAGTTCTCTTCGCATGGCTTCATAGTCGATCCTTCCTGAAAGAACCATGTCCCTCGGCGCACTTCATATATGGGGCCTACCCAGTACGTTGGCGCCAGCTCCCTATTTTCCACGTTCACATCGAACAAAAAGTCCTCATTCACGGAAACCTTGGTTGGAACGCGTGAACAGCCAGGGTCTGCTTGTTCGTGGCTAAAGTTCTCATTTTCAACCTCGATGTCCGATATCCTTTGGAAAGCTTCTTCAATGGCATGAGAGTCCCTAATTGAGAATTGCACAAATTTCTTGGGGGGTGGCAGCTTGAGATCTTCTTTATTCCGAGCACTGGTAGACAGCTCCGGCTTCCTTTTCGGAGAGTCCACTGCATAAAACCACTTGACACTCAAGGGCGGGCAGTCTTCAGGGTAACGGTGTAAGCTGAGTCTGTACCTATGCGTGACAGCATGGTCTTGTCCTTGGGATTGCTTCAGGATATTCTGGATATCGTGTTGCTTGTCTGTAGTAGACAAGGGTGTCGAGCTTTGGGGGCTACTCCAAGGCGAAATTGCCCCTAGGAAAGGACCCCGTTGGCTTTCTTTTGGCATGAAGCTCAGGAGAGCTCGTGGTCTCGTGGCAAAAGCCAATGCGCCTACGTCAGATGAACTGATAAAAAGAAAGTATCAGACGAGGCTGTGAGACCTCAGAGGCCTAGGTGCTTGTATTAAATCGCAGAGGGTGCTCGGAATCGCAAATATTCATCCGTGCTTTCTGGCCTTGTTGGCAGTTTAACTAAGGCTTTGTGGATCAGCCGCCCAAAAGCTTCGTAGCTGACCACCTCCTCGTACACAGGGATAAATTATGTCAATTTGCAGGTGCTTACGATTTAGCGGGTGGATGACTAGTCACATATGCCACATAACTTATTTATTGTCTCAATCACTTATCAGTCATCAAGGATGATGGTTTATCTAGTGAACACAAATGGAGTTCAGTCGGTGCCGTAACGCAATTAAGACGGCGACATCATCAGGCATTAGGCAGCAGCAGCCGGCATCCGGCAGCAGCCGCTTACACGTCCTACGTCATTAACCAGATACTCTATGCACAGATTAGTGTTTATGTATGACATACCGTGGTTATATCTATCTTTTTGTGAATAGTAATATATTGGTCAGGTAAATTATTTACAATGACTATTAGGTAGCCGACATGTAGGCCAGTTACACACGCGGTTCCAATCTGACCGATTCTAAGAGTTCTTCTGTGTAATTCCCGGTAACCTAACTTAGTGAGCGATGCCAGTCATCTCATCCTAACCCCACCTTGTCATTGGGTTCCTACACTAGTGCAGTTCTACCTCGAGGACCAGACGGCAACCAACCCCACGGAGTCTCCTTCGTTCATCATACCAGCAGCTCCTACCCCCCAACAAGGTCACTTAAACGTTGAGTGCTCACCTGGTCACCTACTGATACTTACGTTTGGTATCTTCCCCCGCAAGGTGCGATTCTGAATCTTTGAACTTTCAGTTTGCTCAAGAAGCCTATTTCTTCGAGGTCGAGGGAGACCACAAGGAGAAAATGAACGTGCTCAAACTACAGAGGTTCGCATCGATACCACGAGTAGAAGCTGCGGGGTCACTGACCATGGCTCAGGAAATTCCCGCAATTCGACCAGGCAGACATCTTCTCCCTCCAAGATGCGTTTCGGAAGCTGGATGTCGACGACAGGGGCTATCTCGACGAGGCCACTGTGATCAAGGCAACGCAACAAACGGAACGGAAGCCTTATGATGTCGTACGCCAAGCCTTGAAAGAGGTCGAGTTGGACAGTTCCCGCCGCGTCGAACTGGAGGACTACGTGGATGTTAGTATCCTGAAAAGCACTTTCGTCAATAATGCTAACGCAAATCGGCAGCTCATCTCCAAAGTTCGCTTTGCACCAGCGCAAAATCAGGCTGGTGGCCATGGTCCCGCAGCAGTCATACCAGGAAATGTCACTGGGCAGTCCCGCCACGTCTCTAAGGGGAGCATCGGTGGGAAAATCCATGTACAAGGCTCGTCCGCAAATGTGACACACACTATAAACGAAGATGAGAGGACCGAATTCACCAGGCATATCAATGCTGTTCTCGCAGGGGACCCAGACATCGGCCACTCTCTACCTTTTCCTACCGATACCTTTGAGATGTTCGATAAATGCAAGGACGGTTTAGTGCTAGCAAAGCTTATCAACGACAGCGTTCCAGACACGATCGATGAGCGTGTTCTTAACAAGCCTGGGAAGAGAACAAAGGAATTGAACGCTTTCCACATGACCGAGAATAACAACATCGTCATCAACTCCGCCAAGGGAATAGGGTGTTCAGTTGTCAACATAGGGAGCGGCGATATAATCGAAGTTCGTGAGCATCTTATTCTGGGCCTCATTTGGCAAATCATCCGCCGAGGTCTCCTCGGAAAGATTGACATAAAACTTCATCCGGAGCTTTACCGGCTGCTTGAAGAAGACGAAACATTGGAGCAGTTCCTTCGCCTTCCTCCGGAGCAGATATTGCTACGTTGGTTCAACTATCACTTGAAAAATGCAAAGTGGGATAGAAGGTATGACATATCACACCAGAAACCAGGCTGCACAATCTCCGTCCACATCGGTGACTAGGCCGATCGAGGACTAATCTACTAATCCACGGAGATTTGGATGAAATATTCAGCTAACATGACATAGAGTTACAAATTTCTCAACCGATGTGAAAGACGGAGAGAACTACACCATACTACTCAATCAATTGGCGCCTGAGATCTGCTCGAGGGATCCCCTTCGAGTTCAAGATTTGGTTCAACGTGCTGAACATGTTCTGACAAATGCGGAAAAGCTCGAGTGTCGAAAGTTCCTGACCCCTACTTCGTTGGTTGCAGGAAATCCGAAGCTTAATCTTGCATTTGTGGCAAACTTGTTCAACACAATTCCTGGTCTTGACCCGATTACAGAAGAAGAGAAACTCGAGGTTGAGGACTTCGATGCTGAGGGCGAACGAGAGGCCAGAGTTTTCACTCTTTGGCTAAACTCCCTCGACGTACAGCCTTCTGTCAACTCACTGTTCGATGACCTACGCGATGGAACCATCCTGCTACAAGCGTATGATAAGGTAATTTCTGGCAGTGTGAACTGGAAACATGTCAACAAGCCTCCGACGTCTGGCGGAGAAATGATGCGGTTCAAGGCAGTCGAGAACACCAATTATGCAATCGAGCTTGGTAAACACATTGGTTTCTCCCTTGTAGGTGTGCAAGGAGCGGATATTACCGATGGCCAAAGGACTCTTACGTTGGGGCTGGTCTGGCAACTCATGCGAAAAGATATCACTATTACTCTCTCCGGCCTAGCACAACGCATGGGCAAACGCGAAATGACTGATGCAGAGATGATAAAATGGGCAAATGAGATGTCGCGAAGGGGAGGAAGAACTACGACGATTCGCAATTTCAAGGATCCGTCTATTGGATCCGGTATCTTCTTACTTGATGTGCTCAATGGCATGAAGAGCAGTTACGTTGACTATGAGCTCGTGACGCCTGGCCGGAGCGAGGAGGAGGCCTATGCCAACGCTAAGTTGAGTATTAGCATAGCACGAAAGCTCGGGGCGACGATTTGGCTGGTCCCCGAAGATATTTGTCAAGTTCGATCTCGCCTAGTGACCACTTTCATTGGTAAGTTCATTACAATTGATCTATAACGATGCATAGGTAAATTGACCATATACTGCAGGTTCGCTCATGGCTACATACGAGAAAATGCAATAGTTCGTTCGATCCAGGACTCTTACGCAAGGAGGGCTTCGTCTATGTTCTTAGACCTCGTGTTGCAAATCCCAAAGTCCCCGTTTTTAGTCATAGTGCTATCCAAATATAACCTTTAATCAAGGTCCTAACATGTCCTAACATTTCCAAATGATTCATCCTAGCTGCCAGCAACCCTTTCCGAGGGTTCGCCTATGAGTTTGAAACTATAGTGGGCCGTACCTCAATTTCTAAGCCTCACCAGGAAAGGATTATTTTCCAGTCGGCTTTCTTGGTTCTGAGCACTCGGTGACATAATAGCCACTTATAGCTTCACATACAGACCCAAGAAGAAGCAGCAGCGCGTTTTTGTAAATTTATGGATATTCTCATATGATTCCGAGGACAATCATCCGAAAACATGGATTGGTAAGACAAAGGGGATAAAAGAGTTTGATACAATTAGCATCTATCTACGTCTTATTTGGCGAAAGCTAATATGATAGTCTCAAGGACGCTTACCAGGGCTTCTCAAAAGTTTCTGCAAAGTAGAATCAGATGTCTCGAGTACAAGCTACGGCTCCTACGGCAGACCGTTTCGGAAAAAAAAAGGGTTGATCAGGAAATTCGGACGGACGAGTAGGACGAGGGATGAGGGATGAAAGATCGAGTGATATTAATTTGCGACTCGAGGACGAGGAAACTGGCCGCCAGTTATCGTTAGGAGGGTTAAAGGACGACAAAAGCTGGCGTTAAATCAAGATAGGAAAGAGGCTCGCTCGACGTTCGTTCGGCAAAGTTTCGAGCTGCTGACCACGATAAATAACAAATTGACAAACCATCTGGGCCGCGCCGTCCCTCTCCCAACCAGGAGTCTTTGCTTCATCACTACGATGAATAACATCGTTGAATGAAACAAGGCGGGACGGGTCGGTGAATGAAACGATCATAGGTATACCAATAAGCATGTAGCAGCTGTGAGGGGGACAGGGGGAACAGGGGGAACACCAAGGCACAATAAACTAGGGCTTAAAAGATCAAGAAGCACTGGGCAGTTATAGGGGGGAGGTAAGAAAGTCAAAGCTGATTACCGGTAAAATCTCCGAGGGTGTTGGGGGTTTCGCATCTCCCATAGGCAAGGCATTATACCAGGACGGCCTGATATACGACTTTGGGTATCAGCGAGCCAAGCAGGAGAGCAACCTACTCCGCGGTGTCCAGTTCATCATGAGCAGAAGCCAAGGGGTCTAACGTGGCCACTTCAGAGGGATCAGTATCTTGTTAAGGTTGAATGTTAGACGACTAACCTTTTCTTTCCTCGCCATTTGGTCCGTTTTCACGATCATCGTCGTTTCGTTCTCGCTCATCATCGCGGCGTTCCCGACCTTCTTTGACATCACGATCTCTCTCATCAGGGCTACGGGAGCGATCACGAGAACGCTCCCGTTCACGTTCACGTCTGTCATAATCACGGTCCCGACGGTCATAATCACGGTCCCGACGCTCGTAGTCACGATCATGGCGGTCATACTCCCGATCATACCTTTCATCCCTGCGTGGAGAGTAATCGCCACGGCTGCGTCGAGGTGAAGGAGAGCGGCCACGGCGGGGAGGGGTACGGTCACGCCGACGGTCGCGACCAGAGTCAAAACGCCAGGAGGCAGAAGGGGGAGTCCGAGCCCACTTTGACATGTTAATTGAATGTTTTCATGGTGTGGGCAGCCGGATGACAAACCTCTATCTTCAGTAAATCATCGCGGCCAATTCGCTTATTGTGCATCTCATGATAGGCATCATCTGCATCACGGCGACTCTCATACTCCACGAAAGCAAACCTGCCAACGTAAGTCAAGGTGAAGAGTCTGGAATGGCTTGGTTACATACAGTCTGCTCGACGGAGTTCGCGGTGCTGGAATATCACAACGCACAAGTCGGCCATACCTACAAGAAACGTCAGGAACAATCAAAGCCCAAGTACTCATTACAATGTGAATTTGACTCGGGAGAATGATGAACAGGTAGATGGTGGTAGTATTGGGTTTGGCGGAGAATTCCGCTCACAGCACTACCACAAAGCAGCAATGAGAGAGAATCTCTCTGAAACGGGAAAAAGTGAACAGCTTCGCCTGCGATACTGCGAGACTCCGTCGAGTGTTTTCGCGTTTGAGGAGACGAGTTGTTGGATATAGTAGCGAGTAGGCAATCGACGAGCGGCACGTACCGTTCGAATTCGTAGGCAAGATCGCGAGCTCGAGTCCCGTGCCCGAAGCCGGTGACATATAGGGTAGTGCCAGGACGAGACATGCTATGAGCGTGGCTAGATCAGTTTTTGATAGGTAGGAATGTAGAGAGGTGTTGGCTGCTCGAAGGATAATTGAAGTAAGTGAGGTCAGTAAGGGAGCTTTGGGATGCTAGAGTCGATTTAGCACATGTTCTACGGGTGGTCAAACATACCACTAATGATGTGCTTAGTAAGCGGGATGACTAGTCAGGTTGCATATGAGCGGTGAACACAGTTGATCTGAACTATATTTTGAGTACATGTAGAATATTCCTGCAGCACATAATCCCAAGCTCTTTATATAAGTAGAAATATTCCATATGATTTTATAAATCACTGTCTTCTATTATTAAAATTTAATTTTCTTATATATTTCTTTAAGTTTATTATATTTAAGTTTTTAAATATCTATTAAGTACTTATAAAGTATTTCTTAATTTTAGATTTTTATAATATTATTAAATTTATTTCTATAAAGAAGAATAATTTAATTTAAATAATTCTTTCAATAGAAAGACAGTTTTCTCAGATTGTGTTTTTAAAATTTAATAACTTGGTGTTAGCCGCAACCCTGAGCGGGTATTCTACTAATACTAACCGCTTACCCCCGCTGCCTTAAACAATCTTTAATATATTATATATAGTATAGATAAAAAGAAGAAATAAATATCTATAATTTATTATACTCTGATTTTAACTAGCTTTTATAATAATTAACAATAATAGTATATTTATTATTATAATTCTTGGCTTACCTAAGAATTGATTTTACTAAATAAATAATAATTAAAATATTTGTAATTGTGACGGGCAGATTATAGATAACAAACCGGCAGATTGTTACTGTTTACTATACTATTCTTTAAAAAATATATATACAGCAGTATAGTCAATGAATACTATAATAAAAATAATACTTATTAAAATTCTTAACATTATTATAATAATAATATATTTTTTATAAACTAGAAGTCTGCTTTCTAAAGCCGACTAATAGATTTTAATATAATAAGCTTATTAACATATATAATATTAAGCTTATTAATAAATTTTATATCATTACTTCTAGTCTATATTATATTATATTTTTTCTAATTCTAGTATTAATTTTTATTTTATATTATATTTTATTCTCTAATATAGTATTTATTTTATTTATATTAATTTCTTGCTGAACCGCTTATTTCTTTTTTTTCTTTTTTATAAAAACTAAAAAAATATAATCTTATTTATAGTATTTCTAACAAGATCTATTTATATATTTCTTATATTTTCTATTATTTCTACTATACTAAAAAATATAACTGTTGTATTCTAAAAATAGATATTATATTTAATTTTATATTTAATTTATTTACTGCTTTAATTATATATAAACAATTTTACTGCAGTTTTTTTAAGTATACTAATTCTATTAAATTTTGTGATGGCCGATCAAACCAACTGAATTTTATTAATATAATACTATTTGAACAAAATCTTAAGCATCAGAAGAAGAAAAGAAGAAGAAAAATAACTATATTTTCTATAATATTATATTATTTAAATATAGTATAAATAAGATAAATAAATTAAAGAAATTAAACTAGTTTTAATTTATTATTTTATTTAGATATTTTTTATATAATTCTTATATTATCCCCCGGATTAGTTTTAACTATTTTTAAATAAAAGATATTTTTATAATTTTTTTTATTATTATTTTTATAATAGAATCATAGACTGTAAATATTTTATAAAATCTAAAATAAAATTATTATTAAAATAATTAAAATTAAAAACTTTTTTTATAGCTATTTTTAGTCAGATTTTTAAATATTTTAAAAAACTAGAACTTTTTAAATAAGAATTATAAAATTTTTTTAAAAATATAAAAATATTTTTTAGATTTTTTATTAAATATTATAATAAATCTGCTACATCTGATTTTTTTTATCTAATATAATATATTAAATATTTCTAATATATATAAAAATTGAGAATTTTTTTATTTTATATTTTATATTTTTATTTATATTTATTAGCTTTATTTAGTTTTAGATTTAATTTAATAATAATTTATTTATTAATATAAATTAAAGTTTTTTAGAATAAAATACTAGATATATTCTAATATTAACTAATAGTTTTATTTAAAATATATATTTTTTTATTTTAAAATTTTATATAAATTATATTATTTATTTATTAGCTTTTTAAATAGTTATTTTTAGTTTTAATTAAAATAATTAATATAGATTCTACTTCCGGCTTAGATTAAAGTTTTTTTTTAATAATAGTTAGTTTATATAGTTTGTTATTTTTAAAAATTAAGAATATTTATTTTAATAAATTTCTAAATATTTTTAAAATAGATTATAATATTATAAATATAAATAATATTTATATTTTTTATTTAATATCTGCCGGGGGTTTCTAGTTAAAAAATAGTTAAAACTAATATCTATATTTTATTTAAAATAAGAATATTTTAAAAAATATATATAATAAATATATTATAATAAAGTTTATTATTAATAATAATTCTAATTAGTTATTATAAAAATTATTAATAAATAGAATTAATTTTTAAATTATATATTAGTTTATATTTTTAATTTATTTATTAGTTTAGAAATAATATAATATAAAAAGTTTTAACTTAATTTAAAAAATATAATAAAATTTTTATTAAAACTTTAAAATAAACTAAGACTTTTTATTAGAAATAATAATATTTAGAAATTCTATTTAAATATAAATAAATTTAATAAATAATTAGATTATATTTTATATAGTTATATTTTTAAGATATAAAATTAATATTATTTATTTAAAAAATTAATTTATTATTCTATATATAATATTATATTTTTATATATTTTTTAATAATATATAAAAATCTATAAATATATATTATTATAATTTATTAATAATAAAAAAAGATTAAAATAATCTTTATAATAGTTTTTTTAGTAATTCTTATATTTATAGATTATATAATTATTTAAATATTAATAAATATTCTTATTTTAGATATTCTAATAATAATATTATTTAATTAACTTTAAAGTTTTTATTTATTTTAAATATATAGTAGAGAACTGGTAGTATATTTTATTTAATAATTTTATATATAAATTTTTTTTAATAAATATTACTAAATATTTTTTATATAATAGTAATCTATTTTAAAAAAAAATAAAAATTATTTTAATTAATAATATTTTTTTAACTAAGTTTAATCGATTTATAGTTAGTATAAAAAATTTAATTAATTAATAATAATTTTTTATTTAATAAAATTAGAATAAATAATTATAATATTTATAATATCTTCAGATTTATTTATTCTAATTATAATATAATCTAATTATATTTCTAATCTAATAATTTATAAATTCTTTTTATTAAATAAATATATTAACTAAAATATTAGCTTTTTTAAGTCTATATTAGATTCTAAATAATATTTAAATAAAAATTTAGTTTATTTTACTTATTATATATTTAGTTTTTTTAAAATTATAAAGTATTTTAATATTTAATAATTTATAAATATTTTAAAAGATTTTTTTTATTAGAAATCTTTTTGCTTTATTTTTTAAATTTTTATAAATTTTATAATAATTAATATTTTTTTATTTTAAATATTATAGTTTCACTCAGCAGGTATTATAATTTTTAAAATAAATAAAACTAGATATTATTAATTATTAGTATATTAAACTAAGATTTTTATAATAGTTCTATTTATAATATTAGTTTTTAAGCTAATAAAAAAACTAAAATTATAATAGATTAATATAAATATTAAAATAAAAATATTTTTTAAAAATCTAAAGATTATTTAGTATTTTTTATTTTATATAAAAAAAATATTTTTATATATAAGTAATAGTAATAGTCAGACTAGTCTACTATAATTTTTAATAAATTATTAATAAAAAATATAAAATTTTAAAAATAACTATATTTTATAAATTATTTTTAAAATTTTTTTATTTTTTAATAATTATTATTTTCTTCGGATCTATTTATATTTTATTAATAAAAATAATAAAATCTAAAAACTTAGTTTTTATAATATAAAATTTATATTTATAAATAATAGCTTATAAATTAGTTTTATATAATCTTTTAAAAATTAGTTTAATATAAATTTAATATTTAAAAAAATTATTACTATAAATAAGAATATTATTAATATATATAATTATAAATTTATTTAGATATTTATATAAGATTTTATTTATTAATTTTTAAAATATTATTAATTTATTTATTATTCCGAAGAAAAGAACTTTATATTTAAATATATTATATTTTATTTAAAAAATAGTTAGATTTTTTAAATTAGAATTTATATAAATATAATAAAAGTCTTATCTAATATTTAGTTTAATAAATATTTTAGTTTATTTTAATTAATTAATAATTTTATTAATTAATAATAATAAATATAGATTTTTTTAGTTAATATATTAAGTTTTTAATAATTTATATATATATAAAGATCTTCTCCGGATTTTTAAATTATTAGAATAAATAATATAAAAAAAACTAAGCTTAAAATAATAAAATTTCTATTTAGATTTTTAGTAATATAATATCTTATAGTTTTTAGTTTTCTAGTTATTATTTTATATAATAAAAAGAATTTTAATAAAAACTTATTATTAAGCTAGATTTTATAATTATAAATATAAAATAATAATAAGATATTTAAGACTTATTTAAAAAATATTTTAATTAAATTATAATATTAAAAAAAATCTTACTAATTTTTTATTATTTTTATTTAATAAAAAATATTTTTAGTTTTTTATTAATTATTTTTTTAAATCTTTATAGTAATATAATAAAAATTTTTAACTTTAATTTTTTTAGATATTACTAAAAGCTGGCTATTTTAATTAATATAATTTTTAAATTAGTTGTTTTTAGTTTTATCTAATTTTTAATCTAATTATTTATAAATTTGTTTTTATATTTTTTTTTTAAAATATAACATTTTATTTATTTTATATAATATTTAGACTTA